AGTTAGGAAAGTTAAAAAAAATTTTTTTTTTAAAGGGAGGACGTCAAAGTTAGAAAAATAAAAAATTTTTTATAAAGAGGAAATAGAAATAGAAAGAAGAAAATTTTTTTTAAAAAAAAGAAAAGTGGGAATAGTGGGAATAAAAGAATAAAATCAAAAAAAATTTTTTTTTTTAAGGGAGTGACGAAAAAAAAATTTTTTTTTAAAGGAGAGTGATGAAAAAAAAAATTTTTAAAGTGAGGTACGAAAAAAAAAATTTTTTTAAAAGGGGGGTGACGAAAAAAGAAGAAAAATTTAGAAAAAATAACAAAAATAAGACAAGAGAAAAGAGAAGGAAGGGAAAGACAGAAAGGAAGATCGGAAGATCAAACTCATCAAAGTAAAGGTTTATATAAAAAACAAAAAACGTATCATAACAAAACAATAAACAATCACGTGATCTCGTGTTATGATACGAGATTTTTGTGAAAATTATTTTCTAAAAATATTAAGTTTAAAAATTCCGTATACATTCCGTATGATTAATTTTTTCCGTATACATTAGTTTTTTTAAAAAATGTTCAAAAATGAATTGCTTATTAAATATACGGAATTTGTTTACGGAATCTATAGAAACGTACATAAAATGTATACAAAACGTATCCTTTCCGTATACATATTTCTTATAGGGACTATAAAAAAATCTTACTAAAACAATTATTAACTTCAGTTAATACTATTACTGATATGATATTGTTATTAAAAAAAACCATAGAAAATTTTTTATACCAAACTATTATTAAAAAAAATCTCATTAAACTTTTTTATAAATTTCACTAAACACAATCTATTGTTATAAAAAAATCTTTTATTAATTTATTAGTATACTTTTAAAAATAAACTCACTCACTATATCCAAAAGTATTTGATTTTTAGCTAATAAAAATGTCAAGTCTGACGTTTTTAGCTAATAAAAATCAAATTTTCTTGATTTTTAATAACAAAAGCGTCAAGTCTGACATTTTTAGCTAATAAAAATCAATTTTTCTTGATTTTTAATTCATTTTATTTCTTAAATTTGAATATATATTTATCCAGTATGGTACGAATTTGCAAACCTGTATGGTACGGTTGATCAATTTTTGTGATAATCATTTCGTACCGTACTGTACTGGTTCTATATATAAAGAGATTATTATAGAATCAGTACGGTACGGTACGAAATGATCAACCATAAAATTTAACCAACTGTACCGTACTGTACTGGCTCTATAATAATCTCTCTATATATAGAACCAGTATAGTACGGTACGGTTATTGTTTTAAATGAACATTTTGGACATTGGTGTCCAAATTATTAAAATGGACACTGGTGTCAATTAATTATATGCTAAATGTACTGTACTGATTTTCTCTTTATTATAGTATCAGTACGGTACGGTACGGTCATGTTGATCAAATTTTGTAATTTTGTATGGGTGATCAACTGTACCATACAGGTTTGTAATTTCGTACCATACTGATTATCCTACTACCTCTTAGATTTTGCTAACCATTTGTCAATCATTCTTATATCTTTTTTTTTTTACTTCATTGAAAAATTTCATATATCAAAATACTACCAAAATTTACTGGAAATCTTATTTTATATCAAATTTTAATAAATAGATCTTTATGCAAATCAAATCATTATTGGCCAACTTTCATAAGTAACAACCTTTTAATTTTAATAAGCAAAAATTATAATTAGCCGAATTCTTCACAAGTAAATCCTGTATTATAAGCGCAAATGTTGTATTATTTTTTTTTTATAGATTATGCAAGATGCAAAGAATATCTATGCAAAGCTTAGTTTAAACTTCTGCCATGTATAACCATCGATTTTTAGTGCCATTATTCGATTTTATCACATAATACATAAATCTATTAATTTTGCTCCAATTGAAAGACATTAATGTATCTTCAAATTTTATTCATATATTTATCTTTTTTTTAACCAAATCAAAACATTATTGGCCAAGTTTTATATGTAGTTTTTATTTAAATGATCAGCAGGTAATTTATTGTGATAGATCATTTGATTGGTCGAATTTCATGTGATCATTGATCATTCGTCTGTTCCTTTTTTTTTGTGCAACATCCATTTTAGAAAACATAATAAGTACTCAATTACACAAACTGTTGATCTACTGTAATTAATACGCCCACAAACATAATTGTTTTAACTTTCGTCTGTCTTAGATAGTTTTTTTGTTAATAGTTAGGAAGCCAAAGTTTACATTGTAATTTTTTGTAAGCAAAAAAAAAAAAATAATTATTTTAACTTTCATTATTAAATAAAATGTCTGAAAATGAAACTGAATTATTTCATCAAAATAAAAAAGCAGCAGAAAATGGTGAAGAAGTTGCAATGTATAATTTAGCAACTAGTTATTATAATGGAAAAGGGACAGAAAAAAATTTAGAAAAAGCCTTCCATTGGTATCAAAAAGCAGCAGAAAATGGAGATAAAGAAGCACAATTTAATTTAGGTGTTTGTTATGAAGATGGAAAAGGAACAGAAAAGAATTTAGAAAAAGCCTTCTATTGGTATCAAAAAGCAGTAAATAATGGTGATGAGAAAGCAATAAATAATCTAGCCATATGTTATAAAAATGGAAAAGGAACAGAAAAGAATTTAGAAAAAGCCTTCTATTGGTATCAAAAAGCAGTAAATAATGGTAATGAAAAAGCAATGAATAATTTAGCCATGTGTTATAGATATGGAAAAGGAATAGAAAAGAATTTAGAAAAAGCCTTCTATTGGTATCAAAAAGCAGCAGAAAAAGGTTATATTGATGCAATGGCTTGTTTAGCTGGATGTTATTATAATGGAGTAGGAACAGAAAAGAATTTAAAAAGAGCCTTCTATTGGTATCAAAAAGCAGCAGAAAATGGTAGTCAATTTGGAATGAATTATTTAGCCATGTGTTATAAAGATGGAAATGGAACAGAAAAGAATTTAGAAAAAGCCTTCTATTGGTATCAAAAAGCAGCAGAAAAAGGTTATATTGATGCAATGGCTTGTTTAGCTGGATGTTATTATGATGGAGAAGGAACAGAAAAGAATTTAAAAAGAGCCTTCTATTGGTATCAAAAAGCAGCAGAAAATGGTAGTCAATTTGGAATGAATTATTTAGCCATGTGTTATTATAATGGAAAAGGAACGAAAAAGAATTTAGAAAAAGCCTTTTATTGGTATCAAAAAGCAGTAGAAAATCATGATGAAAAAGCAATGAATAATCTAGCCATATGTTATAAAAATGGAAAAGGAACAAAAAAGAATTTAGAAAAAGCCTTCCATTGGTATCAAAAAGCAGCAGAAAAAGGTTATATTAATGCAATGAATAATTTAGCCATATGTTACAAAATTGGAGAAGGAACAGAAAAAAACTTAGAAAAAGCCTTCTATTGGTATCAAAAAGCAGCAGAAAATGGAGATAAAGAAGCACAATTTAATTTAGGTGTTTGTTATGAAGATGGAAAAGGAACAGAAAAGAATTTAGAAAAAGCCTTCTATTGGTATCAAAAAGCAGCAGAAAATGGTAGTCAATTTGGAATGAATTATTTAGCCATGTGTTATAAAGATGGAAATGGAACAGAAAAGAATTTAGAAAAAGCCTTCTATTGGTATCAAAAAGCAGCAGAAAAAGGTTATATTGATGCAATGGCTTGTTTAGCTGGATGTTATTATGATGGAGAAGGAACAGAAAAGAATTTAAAAAGAGCCTTCTATTGGTATCAAAAAGCAGCAGAAAATGGTAGTCAATTTGGAATGAATTATTTAGCCATGTGTTATTATAATGGAAAAGGAACGAAAAAGAATTTAGAAAAAGCCTTTTATTGGTATCAAAAAGCAGTAGAAAATCATGATGAAAAAGCAATGAATAATCTAGCCATATGTTATAAAAATGGAAAAGGAACAAAAAAGAATTTAGAAAAAGCCTTCCATTGGTATCAAAAAGCAGCAGAAAAAGGTTATATTAATGCAATGAATAATTTAGCCATATGTTACAAAATTGGAGAAGGAACAGAAAAAAACTTAGAAAAAGCCTTCTATTGGTATCAAAAAGCAGCAGAAAATGGAGATAAAGAAGCACAATTTAATTTAGGTGTTTGTTATGAAGAAAGAATTGGTATTGAAAAAGATGAAGTTAAAGCCTCTTATTGGTATCAAAAAGCAGCTCAACAAGGATTTAGTAATGCACTATATAGACTTGGATTCTTTTATAAGATTGGTAAAGAAGTGAAAAAAGTTTTAAAAAACCCGCTTAAAAAAGTAGAAAAAGGAAGTTTATGTGCAGAGAAATTGCTTGAAAATTTTTTAAAATATGAAAAAGTTAAATTTATACCTTATAAAGAATTAAAAAAACCAGAACCACTTGATGCAGGAATGTTTGGAATAATATCAAAAGCAATTTGGACTAAAACTAATAATTATATTATTTGTAAAAAATTAACCAACACAACTTATATTAAGAATGATTTATTAGATGCATTTACTCATGAACTAAAAATGCATATACAACTTGATTATAGTGAAAGAATTATACGTTGCTTTGGTACTAGTTTAGGTAATTTAAACATTTTTTTTTACATAGCATTTTTTGTCATTTTTTTTTAATTTCTTATAAATTATTTTTAGACCCAAAAACAAATGAATATCTTCTTATTATGCAGTATGCTAATGGTGGAGATCTTCAAAATTATCTCAAAAATAATTTTGAGAATTTGACATGGAATGATAAGAAAAAATTAGCATTTCAAATTGCAGATGGATTAAAATATTTGCATTATGAAAATATTTTACATAGAGATCTTGTAAGTATCAGTATTTATTATTTAATATCATATTAGTATTCAGTTAGTAACAATAATTTATTTATGCAATTTGTTTATTTTTTTTAGCATTCTAAGAATATAGTTATTCATGAAAGTAATGCTAAAATCACAGGTTTTGGTATTTCAAAAAGTCAAAATAATCAAACTTCAGCTTATATTGGTAACTTTGGTGTTATTGCTTATACGGGACCAGAACGTCTTAAAAATCCAGAATCCCCATATACTAAATCTTCAGACATCTATAGCTTTAGTGTATTAATGTGGGAAATTTCTAGTGGTCATCCTCCATTTGAACATATTGATGATAAAATAGCACTTGCTACTTCTATTGTTAATAATAATACTCGTGAAAAGTTAGTTCCCAATACTCCTGAAAAATATGAAAAACTCTATACAAAATGTTGGAGTCAAGAACCTCAATTAAGACCAACTATTAATGAAATATTGGATGAATTTGAAAGAATGGATGGTAATTTAATTTATGAATCGCAGACTAGTACCAAATCTTTGGAATATCATCAATTCACTTCAAATTTGATTGGTAAGTTTAAAATTCTTTACTCATTAAGATATGATATTGAATTAAAGATATTTTATACTTTATCATTATTATATTTAGTTGACTGGAACAAAGAATTGAACAACAATCAAAGCAATTAGATTTTCAGAGTTATGAAAGATAGACATGTTTTTTAATAAAATTGTACAATTAATTTAAGATTACTAACTGGAATCACCGAATGTTCATGCAATATTTAGCTTGAAGATAAGAACGCCGAAAAGCTTGTATAATGTGTTTAACTTTAATCGTAGTTCATACTAACCATGAAATTCAATATATAGTTAGTTTGATGCCCAAATTTAGCTTAAACTTTTCCAGCATTTTTATATTAAGCTTGAAGCTTGAAGCTTGAAGCATATACTTAAGTATAGGCTTAGGAATAAGTTTCAAGCTTCAAGCTTTAAGTATTGGATCTGCAGTTAGCTTCTCCATGGATGGCAAGTTAATATATATTATTTTTTTTAAAAAAAAAAGTGATTCTTTTCAAAAAAAATGACGATCGTGTATGTAATCATGTACGTAACAAAATGGTAAAAGTGATAAGTGTAATTATTTATTAATAATTATTTACTATGATAAGGCCATTCCAATTTAATCATTAGTTTAACGTCCTCCCCCCCTCTATTTTTGAATAATTCAAGGGTGATTTAAACATATATGTTTGATATGTTTAAATATGCTTAAAACACCCCCTCCTTTACTAAAATTTAATAGTACTGAGAATTTCTGAATTTACCGAAATTTCTGAAATTTTTAATATGTTTAATTTTCATGTTTGTTCAAATTATCCCCTCCCCCCTCTCAAAATTTTTGGCCGGAAAGGACGTTAAACTAATTGACACTATATACAGATCGCACTATATAATTAACGATATCAGGTGATCTTCATTTTAATAGTGATATTTCTTGTGATTGGTTGTTATGCTAATTTGCTATCCCGGAAAGGAAGGAAAAATTTGCTAATTTGGTTAGCTCTTATGCACTAAGTATGGTGAGCATTTTTATAATATATTGATATTGATATTGATATTGAATTGATATTGATATGAATTGATATTGAATTGATATTGAGTTGAATTGATATTGAGTTGAATTGATATTGAGTTGATATTGATATCAATATTACGGACAATGGTCGTTTATATAAAAAAAAATTTTTTGATCATGATCTGCGGTATGATCCGAATTGGTTGATCAAAAATCTGAAAACTAACCATATATTAACATCAAGGAATTATGAATTGGCTGGTCAAAAATCCGAGAGCTAACCATATATTTAATATTAAAAAAATATTTATTATTCGTATACATTGTTCAGGAGGCTGATTTTTGTGATTAATTATAATAGGAATTGAAGGAAGTTAAATATATAAATAATTTAAACATTCATAAATGAACCCGATCAAAAAATATAAAAATATATATATCCAAATTTCATTAAAAATATGTATCAATGTATATATATATATATCCGAATTTTATTGAAAAAAATAAATATCCGAATTTCATTAAAAAAATATCCGAATTTTATTGAAAAAAAATATATACCCGAATTTTATTAAAAAATATATATATACCCGAATTTATAAAATTTATTTATTAAAAAAAATATTGTATGGATTTATTTCAAAAAAAAGCATTATATAAATTTATTTATTAAAAAAAAAGCGTTATATTAAAAAAAAATTATAATTAAAAAACATTATATTAATTTAATTATTAAAAAAAAACTATATGAATTTACTTATTTATATTTTATTTAGACGATCCTATATCCACATATTATTTTTTTAAATAAATCAATTCGTGTAATATATATAATTTTTTTTTAATAAATCAATTCATGTAATATATATTTTAATAAGTTTTTAATCATGTGAAATAAATTTTATTGAATAATTTTATTTTGGTTAGAAACGAAAAATTTTTTTTTAAAAAAAATGTTTTTTACAAAATTCAAAAAAAAAATTCTTCTCTTAAGGCCAATTACAAGATTATTAAATCGAAACATAAAAAAAATGATGAAATAAATGAATATTTTTTTTTATTTTTTTTCATCTAAAATAATTTAAAGTGAAAATTAAATTATATCTTACCAATACTTTGTTTCTGTTAAAATTTATGGTATATATCATACTCTTTAGGGGCCGGTCACCGGCCCTAGGATATGACTCTAGTTATTAACCTAATAATAAATTACTATAATAAATAAAAAAAAGTCTATGAAAGTTATCGAAAAAAATATATATTACCATAAAATAATATCATACAAAAGTATCTCAAATAAAATAATTTATTTTTATTTTTATTAATTAGAAAAAAATCTTTATCTATTCTTTTACCATTATCGGTTAAACAAATGAAACAAAATTTCCCATTTAAAGTTATAAAAATTCGGAGAAATGTTATAGGATTAAATAGGATTAATAAATAAATAAAAAATATATCTATAAAAATAAATATTTGATCATAAAAAACAAGTAATTTTCTTTTTTTTCTTTATTATTTTACGAGCGTGTTTACTAATATCTCATTATTCTTTTTTTAGATGGCTTAGCATCGGAGGCGATCATGATTCTAGAAATATGCGAAGTTTATATTTTTTCAAGACCATTTAATGTTTATTATCGATATAACATTTTACATCAATTTTCATTTACGATTTATTTACATAGGATTAGATTTAGAATAGAACACTCTACTATTAGTTTTATCTTACAACTTATTTACAGCTTCAAAAATAAATTTATTATATAACTTTACTATCACTTTAATATTTATTCAATATAAATTGAATGTAACTTTAATATCACTTTAATATCTATTTATTACAACTTAAATATGCGTTAATTATAACTTTAATTTGTATTTTGTGATTCAATACTATTTTTGTACGATCCGATTAGATCAGGTGACGATCTCCTTAACTTTATACATACGATTCACTCAAACTTATCGTGATGATATAATACCATATCGTGACCAGATCTTGATTATAATTCCTACGATAAAATTTTGACATGGTCACGATATGGTTTCAATTCTAAAAGTTTCTGCAATATAGTTTTTATAATAGTCTTACGCGTTTGTATCCTATAAACATATCAAGTTATACCCTGATTTATCAAATCAATATTTTTGCACGAGAGAAGAATCCCCTTAAGGTTCTGCTATATTTTTATGGTTTAAAGAAATATAATTCAAACATTTAATTTTACAAAAAAATTATAATCCTAAATCTAATAAATTCTGATGATTGGCTTATCAAAGTTATATTTTTATTGAAATTTTAATTTTTAATAAATTAAAATCAATTATTTTTAATTTTATAACGCCTTTATGTTACATATATTTAACTAAAAATAGAATGAATATCAAAATATTTTTATTTATTAATGATATTGGTAATAAATTATAAAATGGTATAAAAGCATAATATTTAATTTCAGTTAATTTCAGTTTCAAAGATTGGGACCAGCAGGTCCTGAATCTTGATAAAAGTATCAAGTTAGTCAAATAATGATTCATTTTTTTATTTTTTTTTATTAGAGAAAACTGATTCTATTAATAAAATGGTGATTATAAATTTTTTATTTTTTATAACAGTGCTGTATGATTAACCAAAATTTTACGTTTCATTTTAACTAGGGACGCACGCAACAATCGACCGATCACAATCACGTGACTGGTTGGTTAACGACATCTTAATTTTTTTTTCTTTTAAAGATAAATACAGAAAAGAAGAAATACGTAGATTAAACACATGGCGTTTTTGAACCAACTCGGTCAATAATGACGTTCCATAATAATTGAAACACATAATCAAAAAAAATAAATACTACTAGTATATAGAAAACTCTCCAGCGCTAAGTAAAGATTTCTATACATTCAACTACGGACGAAAATTTATTTTCGGGATAAATCAAATCTTTCCTTTTGGTTTATCAGATTTTTGTAATTATTGTAGTACTATATTTACTTATAAAATTTTAATAGTACGTTAGACTTCCTACGCTTTCCATTTCCCAGTAATAACAATTTTACATGGTGAATTTCGATATAACTGAATATAAAGCGTAAGTAAAAACTTGATATATCAGATTATAATATTCTATAATAAATTTATTATCAATATATACATTGTTAGATTATTATTATTATAGTTAGCAAGTTATACATTATTTATTTAATTCTATTTTATTTATGTAATATTAACATATAATTTATATAATTTAAACTAACTAAAATATTCTATTATCAATATAATTATTAGATTATTATAATATTCTATATAATTGTTCAGTATATCGAATTTTACTACTGCGGCACTGTGTTATGTGTACTTTACATCCATAAATCGTAAAAAGAAGGGAAAGGCTATTTATTTTCTTTATTAGAATAGAAAATTTGCCAAATAATTTTTTAATTTATTTATGTTCTTTGATTTGAATTACATTAAATTTCCAAAACTCACCGCGTAATCTGCGTAATCACAAATTAAAACGCGTGAAATTAAACAAAACATTTAATTTTGCTGATTTTGTAATATAAAAATTAAATGCTGAATCTTTTCTTGTAATATTTTAACATCATTATAAATAATCTCTTTTCGCATTATCGAAGAAGTCATAAGTGAAGGTTGAAATTTCTTATTATTTTCATCTTTATCAACAAACCAATATAAGGATAGTGGGATTCCAACATTTGGTGAAACATAAGAATAATTCTGAAAATGATTCCAATTTTTCCTTTTATTATTACTGTCATAGTAATAATCCTCAACATCACCGTCATCATCATAATGCCATAAATCATTCTCAATTTCGGCCAAATAATTTCTATGACTTTTCCTAGCTTTTTCAGATTTTTTTAACCAATTTTTAATATAATCCGTTTTACTCGTAAAATAAATATATCGAGGATTTAACTCTTGACTTCCGGATGGTTTATCAATTGTTTCATATTCTGCGATCATTTCTGCTCTATATTTTAACGCAGCATGTCTACTAACTTCATTTGCATCATCAAATGCAGAACTAATATTAAAATCAGTTAGTTTAAATAATTTGATGTAATTAATTATACCAAGAAGTATAGTATAGTAATTCAAAACTTAAGTCATAATTGCAATCAACATATTATGTAAAATTGTAACAACAACAACACTACCAATAAGGGAAAAAATTTCTTTTTGCCAGACATCTAATTGATCCCAACGACCGTTCGTCCAAAAGAAAACTGATTGAGCAGTTTTAATTAAATCTGAGTAATTTTGTGGTCTTTTTTCTGTCGTGTAATCAAGCAAAATAAACCTGACTAGAGCACTTTATTAAAAGATTTGAAATTACTATTTTACTTGATAAATCCGATCAACCATTATGTGAAATAACTAAATAATATTATTTTGATAGTTGCTCAAAAAAATGATGTTACTAAAGTAATGAACTAACAAATTACAAAAGTTATTAAATTTTTAATAATGTTAAACGTCTTTATTTAAAATGATTTACGTTCTGATATAACAATATATATTTCTAACCTCGTGTAACTCGGAAAAATTTGAAGGGGCCGCTGTATGAGTTTTCTAATACTACCTTTAATGTAAGGCTTCTGCTGTAAAATTCGAGTAAATTTTTGAATCCGTTTTCTTTTTCGTTTATTTATTTATTTATTTTTTTTAAAGAAAAAAAAAAAATGTTGATCTGCCGTAAAGTAAATTGGAGTTTAATAAAGTCATTTATTGTAAGCTTAATACTAGCTTAATTGGATATGTATATTTTCCATTGTAAATTGTAAAATGGAATATAGACGGTCATGGGACATTATGAAAATCTACAGATATAAATAGTATCTCGGATATATATACAGTACAGTCTGATCTCGATGTAACGAACCCACGATGTAAAGAACTCTCGACTTACCGAACTTTTTTTTAAAAACCAGTTTCATAGTATTTAAAAACATCTTGATATACCGAACATCATATAAACTTTGTATAACATAATTATACCGAACTTTTATTGATTTACCGCGTATTATAAAACGTAAAAAAATTTTTGATATACCGAACTCAGTTGCCAATTTGCATGAAATTAACTAATTTCGGCCAGAATTAGAAGTTAGAACCACTTAATTTTTGCCTAAATTAAGACATCTTAATTCTGGCCGAAATTGGGATATTAATCACGTGATTTTTTATATACCGAACTTTCACTGAAAAAACTTAGGGGTTCGATATATAATAAAAATTGGCTTTACTGAAGTAACCGAACTTTACTATATACTGAACTTTTACTCCCAAACTGTGGGTTTGATATATCAGATTTGACTGTATATATAAATACCAATTATTGTAATAATTTTGATAAGTTGAATAAGTAATAGTTATTTTATGATTTTCACGGTTGCGCCGTGAAAATCATGATATTCCAGTGACTCCGTGAAATACCCATCTTTTTAAATAAACACCACCCGTGAGAATATCAAGAAAAAAAATCACAAATTTTAACTAGGAACCGTGGGATAAATTCAAATACATTGTTAACTTCATAAAATTTATATGAACAAAATTAAATATTCTTTCATCAGGTGAATTATCTGAAGATCATACTGTACGGGACGTCGGGACGATTAGTAAACCAGTGTAATGCCGGAATTATCTAGTGAATCTAATAATTGTGGGGTAGTATTATATTTAGTCTATATAAATTTTATTTTATATTTAGTAGTGAACTCCAGGTCATGTGTTTGTAACTTCAGGTCACGAGTATAAACTGATAAATATAACTCCCAGATCACGAGTATAAACTGAGTCATATGTAATGTTTCGTATTACATAATTCCGTCATATTTTAATTTTTATTAATTTTTTTTTGATCGATTCATATAAGGAAGGTCAGGTAAACAAAGATGATAATGAAAAGGAGGTTACTCCGACCATTACAGGGAGAAGTAAAATTTCCATTTTACTCATTATATTATTTTTCGTTTTTGTTTTGCCTTTTTCTTATGATGAAAAAGTGCCACATTAATTAATTTTAATGGTTGAATATTAGATTATCGCAGTTTAATTCTAGGATTTAATTAGTAGAATAATGTATGAGTAATTTTGTATAAGATAGATATTTTATGACCGAATATAAGGATCATTTTTGTTAACGTTCAATATGGTAACGACCCATTGAGCGTTACAGCCGTTACACCAGCGTTACAAATAATTTGACCAGGCGATTCAGAGCCGATTTTGGACTTTGTACAACAATATGTAGCATTACACAAACAATTTAAAATAAAGTGCAAACCTTTTTTTTTCTAAATATATCATCAACTTTTCTGACTATAACAAACGACTATTAACCAATATATTATAATATGGATTCACAAAATAGCAATTTTTCGTTAAACACGAATATTATAAATTATGATTCCAATATTTTTTTTGATCACCTTAAAACATTATTAAAAGAATTATATATTTTTCTATCAAATATGGAAAATATAGAATATGAGGTAGATGAAATAAAAGAATTTATAAATAATTTTTTATTTGAATATGATTTGGACCCAAAAAATGTGTTCAAAATTATAACAAGTAATTCTAAAAATATTTTTTGTTATTCAAGTTTAATTGGATTTTTTTATCAATATGGAATTGGATGTGAAATTGATAAAATTAAAGCATCTGAAATATATTTTAATGTTGTAAAAAATAATCAAAAAGAAACATTAAATCAAATCATTTTTAATGAAAAAAATGAAACCATTATTTTCTGTAATGATGATATTAAAGAGTTAAATGAAATAATTATAAAGTATTTATATTCTTTATTTCTTTATGAAGATATTATTATGGATAAACAAAATAATTATAAATTTTACATTAAAAGTGCTGAAAATGGCGATTCAGCGTCACAATATTACATAGGAAATTGGTATTACATCAAAAAAGATTATAATAAAGCAATTGAATGGTATTTAAAATCATCAGAAGGAGGAAATATTAAAGCGATGTATATACTAGGCTGTTGTTATGAGTATGAATATGGAGTTATGAAAGATGAGAAGAAAGCATTTGAATTATATTTAAAATCTGCTGAAGGAGGGTATAAACATGCACTAAGTGAATTGGGAGGTTGTTATTATCATGGAAATTGTGGTACTTTTGAAGACAAAAATAAAGCTTTTGAATTTTATTTAAAAGCAGCAGAAAAGGGACATGCTTCTAGTCAATATTTGGTAGCAAGTTATTATTTGGATGGAAAATATATTCCAAAAAGTGAAGAAAAATGGTTTTATTGGAATAGAAAAGCTGCAATTAATGGTATTACTGATGCTCAACTTGAATTAGCGGAATATTATATTAACCATTCTCTTGATAAGAATGAAAGCAAAGCATTCAAGTGGTATAAGAAATTAGCTAATGAAAATATATTAAAGGCAATTCAAATGGTCGTAAAATGTTATAGGTGTGGTATTGGAACCAATAAAAATTCTTTGGAAGCTTTTAATTGGTACCGTAAATACTATAAATGTATAAATCATAAAAGTTCTATGTAGAAGTACAAATCACTTTGGACCATTTTTTTTTTTTGATTTTTGAATGATTTGGGTAATGAAGCTTCTTTATATAAAAATGAAAATTATTTTTATAAGAATTGTTCTTTTGTATTTAGTTGTCAAGATTTATCGTAAAAATATGCATTTGTTTTAATTTTGTTATTTTATTTTTCATATATTAATTTAATAATTATAAGATATTTATCATTATGACCAATTGACCAGTTTGTTATAAACATAAAAAGTATAACGTGGCTTGACAACTAACAAAACATTTTATCTATAAGATATTCTAAAATATAATTTTACATATTGATAAATTAGCTATAGTTATACCAAAAATTATCATTAAGACATAAAATATACTAACGTTTAATATAATTTTTTATTTAACAACTAGGTGTAACCCGTCGCGCTGCGCCGGGGATAAAATTTCTTAGTATTTTGATAATAAATATTTACAATATGGTAAGGTTAGACTAATAAATTTATATAATTTATATACTAATTTACATATTTAATTCTATTTCATCATTTTTAGGTCCTTTAGTTCTTCCAGTAAGGTTCAGTTGTTTTTCACTTTCTATTTCGTTTCTTACTCATTTTTTTATTTTTTATTTTGTTTTTGTTTCATATTTCGTTTTTCACTAATTTATTTTATTTTTTTCCAGATATTTTAGTTCTTTCAGTTCTACAATTAATAAAGGTATTTTTTTTATTTTTTTTTATTTTTTTTTATTTCGTTTTTATCTTATATTTCATTTCATACTAACTTCATTTTTTGTTTACTTTATGGTTTATTTTTTACTTTGTTTCCTCATGATCACTTTTTTATTTTTGTCTCTCATCATTTTTCACTTTATACTACTTCTCATTATTTGTCTCCCATTATTTTCTATTCCATCTTCATTTTCCATTATTTCATTTTCTCTCCTATTTACTTCCCATCATTTCTTTTGTCTCTCAATCACTTCTTTTCATTTCCATTACTTCTTTTCGTCTCTCATCACTCCTTTTTATCTTTCATCATTCCTCTTTGTCTTCCATCACTTCTTTTCGTCTCCCATCACTTTTTTTGTCTTCCATCACTTTTTTTCGTCTCTCATTACTCCTTTGCGTCTCCCATCACTTCTTTTCGTCTCCCATCACTTCTTTTGTCTTCCATCACTTTTTTTCGTCTCCCATTACTCCTTTTCGTCTCCCATCACTTCTTTTCGTCTCCAATTACTTCTTTTGTCTTCCATCACTTTTTTTCGTCTCCCATCAATCCTTTTCGTCTCCCATCACTCCTCTTCGTCCCTCATCACTCCATTTTGTCTCTAATCACTCCTCTTCATCTTCCCATCACTCCTCTTTGTCTCCCATCACTCTTTTTCATCATCCATCATGTCCTATTTTTCCTTTTTGTTTCCTATCACTTCTCATTACTCTTTTTTACTCCCTTTCTTCTTCTATCACTTTCCATTACTCCATTGTTATTTCATTTTTTTTATTAGCATCTTTCTCCTTGATCATTGTCATTTACTTATCTTTTTTATTTATTGTTATTGTTTTTTTTATTGTATCACTTCATTAAAAATAAATACAGTGATTTTTTTCTTTAAAATCGAAAATGTGGGACTTAAATTTTAAAAAATTTCATTTAATAATATTATTTTGAATAAATATGTTTGCAAAAAAAATTTTTTAAAAAATATCTTCGCAATAAAATTTTGTTTAACCGATCAAAAATTAGCTAAGTTAAAAAAATCTATACGTTTGCCGATCAAATAAATGGCCTTAACTTTTAAGTTTAAATCAGGCACTGAATCATGCTACACAATTCAAGATTATTTATACAGACTTAATCTAAACGTTAGAAGATCGACATGTATTTTTTTATTATATTATATAGATTTCACAAATATTATTATTTGGCAAGAAGTTTAAAAATGGCGATTTATGTGGAATATTGAAATTCGGGATATTGAAATATTAGGATTCGGGATATTGTATGTTTCAGGATGGGCCCAGTTCAGGATATTGTAATTATTGTATGTTTCAGAAAAGTGTCTAGCTCGGGAAATATGTATTCAGGAAAATGGCATTCTGGAAATGGCTTGACAATGATGATTCAACGATTATTGGATCATTTATATCAATTGGGAGCTACTAAATACAGTATAGTTTGCCTTATTAAAATTACGTAAAGGTTTGTCCCAAATAAACGGTCCTGCACACTTTCACGTGAAATAAACCTTGAAAGTTAGTTTCAGGACTCAGGCCTGTTAATTCTTTCGTCATTTCTGGGAAAATAACTAAAAAATTTGTTATGTGTATTATAAATTTCAGGTAATAGTAATTATTTTATGAATTTTGTGTTATAATAGAAATCTAATTATGATATGATTTAAAATAACGTTCATATA